TCCCCTCACGTTTTTCCCAGCCCTCAAACAATTGGATACATCTCACTTTCAGGAATACCCCAGGAGAGTTTTGGAAACATCCATACAGTTCAGGATGGCCTTGCCTGGCATGATTTTGAACTAAAAAAAAAAGCAGAGGATATGCTTTTCGGAAAAGGAGCACGTGGAAACGAGCAATGAGTGCATGAAGGGGTGGCTCTCTCAAGTCCCTTTCCAAGCCTCCAGGGAAAAATAACTCTTGCCCCCTTCTTTGAGACAAGACATGAGCATTTGCCAAGCACAAGGTGTGTTGTGGTTTGCACGTTCCCTCTCCTGTGCTAGACAGATGCTGTCACAGATTTTAGAAACCAAGTGTACCCTCCACTGCACAAACAGCCAAATGGAATGCCAAGAGCATCTCATAACCATTGAGAGAGATGGGAAAGAAACAGGAAACCAATCACAAACTCAACCAACAAAAAAAAAGAAAGCATAAATAATGTTAATTAGGTCATTTTTTACATTACTGTGTGTTAACTGCATTAGGAACTGTCTATCCAGGCTTGATATCTCAGATTTGGAAAGGGGCACTGCATTTAACCACATTTCAGACTGGAGTAACAAAGACAACTAAGAATTTTAGGCGTTAATTTTAACTAAAACACATGGCACAGGTTCTGTGAGTATTAGAAGTTAACTTGCATAAAGGCTGTACTCTGTGATGCTGCAGATTTACTGAACCATGCTCCTGCTCATCTATTTCTCACTTAAAAGTTTGTTGAGAGCGCAGGAGACACCAAAATAAATTTTGAGAGTTGACCCACTGACTCCATACACTGAGCCAAAGTTTTGGGTATATTTTATTATAAACACACATATTTATGTCCCTAACTTTTCACTAATGCAGTCTTTTCTTCTTTTCTACCCCAAAGCTGCCACATATCCTAAGACTTCCAGAGGTGGGTATGAATTTCCAAGTGTAATTGAATGTGTGTAGGCAAACCAAAAAGAAAAAGGAGCTCAAAAATATGTGTAGTTTGTATTAGGAGTGGTACCATCCTGAGCTGAACACTAAGGATAATATATAAGCACTGAGATCATGGAATCATAGAAAAGACAATAAGTATTTACAATTCAGTGAAGTAAAACCACTTGAGAGGAGAAAGACAATCTGGAAACCTGACGGGATATTTTGTTTAGAGTCCTAAATTAATTAATATTACTCAGAGTTTAGAGGAGTTTCTCTTAAAAGGATAAAATTAAAACAAGTAAACAAACAAAGCTGCAGTGCGAGAACGCCCTGGTTGTGAAGTTGATCACTCAGACTTCCAAAGGACCCGTATTAATCCTTGTTTTAGCTCCTCGTGCCTAACTCTGTGTGCAAACAACAGCAAGGAAACCAATCTGGAATAGCACAGGAGGGCTGTAAATCCCAGGCAGATGGCAAAAACTTGGGCCAAGAACGATTCCAAGATTTTTTGTTTGTTTTTACAGCAGAGGGGACGTGAACCTGCCCCTGCAATGCTGTCGCTGCGGAGCAACTTGAGGAGCAGGAGTCTCCCAGGTTTCTCCCCAACCACTTTAGTGTGGAAGATTCCATACTAAAAATTAAGAAAATTAATATAAATCCCTTTCTAGCATGTTATACCTTGAAGCATAAGCTCTGGGGAGCTCTAGGGAGATCGGAGACCACTTAGGTGTGTTGCTACAGAACATGCTGGAGGTACACCGTGACCACACAAATACACAAATAGGCCTGGAATTTGTTGCACAAGATGAGCCTGAAGGAACAGGAGTTATCTGGTCTGAAGAGGAGAGTAAGGGGGACCTTACTGCTACCTTTAACTACTCCTTGGAGGGTTTAGAAAAGAAAAAAGCCAGGCTTGTCAGAAAAAAGCCAGGCTTGTCAGGAGGTGTGTAGTAAGGATCAGAAAACCAAAAATTCCAGTTAGATAACAGGTAAAGGTTTTGTTTTCTGGGTTTTTTGTCTTTTAAATCATGAGGGTGTCCAAATGCTGGAGAAGGTGACCAGAGATACTGTAGGATCTCCGTCCTTGAAGATATTCAAAACTCAACTGGTCAAGGTGCAGGACAACCTGATCTAATTGCACCTGTTACAGAGCAGAGCTGATCATCTCAGGACTTCCTTTCCGACCTCAATTTGCAGAATTCTGCTACAGGATACTCAGGATGCTTTCTGCTCACTGCACTCATTGATTAGACTCACCAGGTATTAGATCTGTTCGGAGCAGACAAGCAGTGCAAGCATCTTAGGTGATGGCATCTCATGTGGTGAGAGAAAAGACAGGTGTTTAGGGCTTATTGAATGTGTTTTGATTGTTGAACGTTGGGGACATACTGTGGAAGATCTGTAAGTGCACCTAGTTAAAAGTCTAATTTCCCAAATTTAAAAGAAATCTTGAAGAGATCCTTATATATTTCAGTTCTCATCATGACTGGAGGCAAAAGGAAGCACCAGAAGGACCAAAAAAGTCTAGAACTAAACTGATCACCACAAGCTCTGTTTGCATTATAACTTCTGGACCTTGGATTGGTGGATTTTCAACAGGTGTCCAGAACCTTCTGGGCTCCAAGTTACTTCAAAAGATTTAAGTGGAAGGGAATTATGAAAAGCAATTTTATTAGCACTTTGCTACACTTAAAAAAAATAAATAAATAGAGGGATCTAAAGTTTAAAAACCATTCCCTTTGAAAAGGAAAGTGGCTGCTTCATCTTTTTAGGGTTGGTGAATTCCACTTTCAAGATTTTCATGTACTCCATTAACAATATTTACATTGAAAACCTCTCTTCTGAAATTTGTGTTGGTTCTGAAAAGCTGGTTTTCACAATAAATAAGCTGAGACGATTTCTTTCACAGCTGTGGTTTTCCAGGCATTATGTTAATATCCTGGACTCTACATTCTTCCAAACAAGGTCCCTGACTGTATCTAACAAGTGCCCAGCACAGCAAGACAAAGTTACTAATGTTACAGAATTTGAGCATTTTGTGTCACACCCTGCTTGAAATGTTAGCCTATGACTCAAACACAGCAACATCTGATAATGGCCAAGGACAAAAAAAAATGAAGCCTTTTTCATTGAAGTCCAGGAAAACACAACGGTGGGAAAAAAATCTCAGTGCCCTTCCTCACATTATCTGTCCCTCCCAGAGCAGACGGGCTCACTGAACTGAGCAAACCTAAGACAGGCACCACAAGAGTTGTGAAGTTTGTTAGACTTCCAGCTTCATTTTAGAGGTGCAGAAAGATCACTGGAAGACACAGAGATGGGACTGCACGGATAGGAAAGACATTCACTGTTAATTTCTGCTGTGATCATGAAACAAGGGCAGCAAAATGCCCAGCCCAGAAACAGATTGGAATCTCCTTAGTTAAAATCACAGCTGAGGAGAGAGTAGGAGTTGACTGAAAGCAAGACACTCTGTTTCAACTCACTCCTGACTGCATTTGGGCAGTGTTTATAACACCAACCCTCCTTGGAAGTAAAAAGGGCACAAGGTGAGCAAGTCTGCCTCCAAACTGCCAAGAGTCACAGCTACTGGGGGCAGGCTGAGTAAACAGACATTTCACTTTTACTGTTTAGGTTCTGACAATTTGCAGCCTCCTTCCATAATCACAGAACAGTTCAGAACACAGCTCAACACCAACACTGCTCCAACCTAAAGGGCTCAGGTTACAATGTGGAGTCTCAGGTAATAACAAAACACAGCGGCTTCACTGGGGCCCTCAACAAGGGAAGACCCCGATTCTTTCATGTTTTTAATGTCAAGAGCAAATTTCTCCCCCTTTTACAAGCACAGTGTACGTGGTACCACTGGTGTCTCCAAGTGACTTTCTGCTCTTTATTCCCCAGCACGTGGGTTTACACATGAGCTGATTTTTAAATTTCAGTTGGAGTCAGTAACATGCTTTTGAGTTTTTACAGGACAATAAAATTGCTTGCCAGGGGTTTCTGACTTAAAGTTCTACACAGCAGATTGAGGTAGGCCTCTTGATCCTCCTTACCACATTTTTGCCATGTTAGAGTATAAAATATCTGTTCTACTAATTGCACCCAGGGATTCACATCCAATATCCATAGACTCCTAAAGCTGATTCTGTTTACCCTTTGATCTTGCCTAGTCTGTTGCTTGAAAGAATACAGACAGGTGATGGGAAATGCTGGAGCTATTGCAAGAACTGCTTAAACACTAATTAACTCCAAAAAACCCAGAATGAACAAGAAGCCAAAATGGAACTAAACCCACAACAGCTGGTGGTCATCAAGGCGATTTTCCCAGAAGGCAGAAGACTGTTACTAATAGGATGGAAATACAGAATTTACTGAGACCAACTGGAACTGCTGATAACATATATTGAGAAATGCCTCATTTCTCACATTTTCTGCAGAGCAAGAGTGAGGCTGAACAACAATTTTAACTTTCAGTGTGGGAAAAAATAAGTGGAAACTGAAACACAGTCCCAGCAATTAGTACTAGGAGCTAATTTTACTGTAATGCTATTTTCATCACATTTAAAAATAACGTTCAAGCGTTTTTATCCATAGAAATACATTTTTTTTCCCTCAGAGTTTAATCAATGCAGTATAGTTCATCAGAATCTGCCCACTGAGATTCTCTTACATTTTAAATTATTTCAATTACTGCAGAACCTGGATGTTGGAACCCCCAACAGATGATTAAATAAAGTTGTATGTTCTGTTCTCCCTTTACGACAGCGGAGGTTTTTGAGATGTTTCAATCACATTACATAAACCTGCATTCCTCCACTAACACAGAACATTCACTCTTGCCACAGGAGACAAATACTTATTGTGCTGCTCTCAGCCAATGATTTTAACTTCAAATCCAGAGTAAACATAACCTCTTCAGAGCTGGGGACACGTTTGTGTGCAAGGAGAACAGCCCACTGCACTACAGTGATAACAATACCAAAGGAAACCATGGCACGTTCCCTTGAGCATCTGTCAGCAAGTGAGGGACTCTAAGAACCAGAACTGCTCAAAGTTGTTATGCATTTATTTATTATTTATTATCTATTATCTGATTTAAATTATACAGATGAAGCAACAGTGTTAAACAGAACAATTCATCATTCTGCCTGGGCATTTGCTTTAAACGTGGTTCTTTCAGTGCCTTGGTGATGGTCTTCCAGAAGATGGCTGAGGCTGCCTGAACTTTGAGAGAACAGTAATATAATCAGCAAAGGTGTAAGTGTGATACTCGTGGTGCTGAAGGTTCTTGTAGGTGGAATTATCCATTTCCTCTGGAGCAGGCTCACCAAGTGCTGCAGTCTCTGTGAAAACAAACAGTAACTGGTGACTATAAGGATGCCACACCAGAGGACAATGTTCTTAAGCACAGTCAGCCTTCTTACACTGCCAGATCCCTCAGCCAGTCAACTTTTAAAAGAAAAAACAGTCAGCAACTACAACAAAAGGAGAATTTACTGAGTTCTGCTGGTTCCTTGTCTGGTCCTAAAGCAGCACATTAATGTGCAGTGGGGAACAGGAATCAGTACAAGGCATCTAATACAGCAAGGTCTTAAAACCCAAACTACCACCTAATGCTGGGGGTGGACAGGGCAGAACATTTCATTTATCTTTTGAAGGCATATGTCTGCATTTCCTGGCTTTTTCCATCGTTGCCTTGGTTTTCACTCCAGCCAGAACAGTAGGTGACATTCTCAGCAAGCCAGGAGAGGCAAGGAGCAGTACAAATGATTTATCATCACTCCAGACCATGAGATAAAGCCATTAGAGCTACTCTACAGATTGAACTTTTTCCATAAGGAAAAGTGAGGGAATTAGCAAGATCTCCACAGTTTAATTTCAAATGTGGTTATACCAAACAGTGATACATCAAGAGCCTTTGATGTGAATTTCCTTTCTCCTAAACTTTGTATCAGCTCTTCTTCATAAAAGAATAACCCAATAAAGTTATTTAGAACTCCTTACTTCATGTTAAAGCCAACATTAATTCTTATGCTTTTAGACTATTGTGCAAATGGGAACAGAATCATTTACATAAAAGGTTCCTGGTGTAGGCTGATTTTACAACCAAGGAAATTGCAAGAAATAAAACTTTACTTCCCAACAATAATTTATTCTCATATACCCAGAGTTTTAACAGTAGGCAAGACACACAATCTAGTGAAAAGCTTCACCAATAAATTTGTATGTGGTGGCTTAGGTTAGATTGTATAAAGCTCTTTTTGTAATGTGTCCATCCATAATAAAAATCCAAGAACTTGAGCAACTGAACACCAGGGTTTCCCTTTGCTTATGACATAATTATTGCAGTGTAAAGTGATCAGATTAAGAGCAGAATCCATAACATTTAGCAAGACTCGCTTATAAATCCCAACGTAGTAAGCCATGGTTTCAAAGCCTGTGACAGGAAATATCCCTGTGCCTGCTGCTCAGCTCCTACTGAGCCAGCTCATAGGAGACAGCACTGCAGAGAGAAAAGCCAGATGAAGTCTTTGCTGCAAATAGCCCCAAGAACAGGCAAGCGTGGGCAAGTGTACGTTCAACCTGTGAGAGACAGTTGTTCCAAATCAAGAGGCAGATGCTCAGGAAGAAAAGCAGATGGAGTCTCATTTTTCCTGCCCAAATACACTGTACTTAGCTCCTAAAAGGCAAAATTTATTCCCGAGTTCATCCTCCCCACACTTCAATCTTCATCTCTGCTTTGTCTCTTAAAGAGCAAAGCACTTCACAGGCTGTTCTTCCGAAATGAATCACAGGCACATTTCTGAGTTACCACGCTACTACTTTGCTACTTACTCAGCAGTTCAAGTCAGCAGTTTTTGCTGACTGCTCTACAAAGGGATGACATCACCTGAGCATCCAGGTTTGTAATGAGAAAAACTCCTTGTATGCCTTCCCTGTGCCTGCTGCAGAGTTTGGAGATGAGCAAACGAACACATGGACAGGACAGAAGCACGAATTACAGGTGGTATCGTGAGCTGTGAACATTAAACATGGAAAAGCAGAAGCTGTTCTCAAAGAAGGAAGAGAGAGCTGGATATATCTGGAGACAACAGTGCAGTTTTTTTGAACACAGTGTAGCTGGATTTGAGCTGGGACCCTCTGGCACCCACAGACATCCCACCAGCAGTACAGACCTTACCTGTACCAACCTCCAGCTCTCCTACAGCCACTGCAGCCACTCCTCTGGCACTACCCAGCAGACACTTCCCTGCTGCCACAGCCTGACCACCTTCACAAAGCAGGAAAAGCTCAACAGCCAAAGTGCCTTTTTTAGCAAAGTCAGTCCTACCCAGAAAGGTTTTGCTGGTGCAGTCCTCCCTTACCTGAAGTTAACTGAACTCATTGTTTGTGTCTCTGTATTTCTTTCAACGTGGAATTAAAAAAAAAAGATGCTTGAGAATCTAGAATTCCACTGTGGATGAACGGGGAGAAAAGCATCATATGTAGATAAATCCAAATAGCCCTTCCCAATTTTGTTTTTAAAGAAAGTTTCTGCTGCTGGCTGCAAGGAGGAACAAGCAAATTAAAATATCACTTGCAAACAGCGCTGCATTTTATTATTTGAATCACAGAATCATTTTGGTTGGAAAAGACCTCTGAGATCATCGAGTCCAACCTTATACTGATCACCACCTTGTCAACAGGACCAGAGCACTGAGTGCCACATCCAGTTGTTTCCTGCCATCACGGAAGAAGGTAAGCAAAGAAATCAAACTAAGAGCCAACTAACATCTCAAAACAGAAGGCAGGTCTTTTACTCAGCACTATCTCCTGGAAACTGATGTACAAAAGCAATTATTTGCACGTAACCTGGTTAGACACTTCAGTCACAGAATGGTTGAAACTGGAAGACACCTCTGGAGGTCATCTGGTCCAACCCCAAATTCTCAGGCAGGCTCAGCCTAGAGCAGGATGCCCAGGACCACATTCAGACAGCTTTTGAGTGTCTCCAAGGATGGAGAGTCCCTTACCTCTCTGGGCAACCTGTGCCCAGAGTCCTACCATTCTCACAATAAAAAAACTGTTTAGTGATGTTCAGGCAAAACCCTGTTTCAGTTTGTACCCACTGTCTCTTGTCCCATCACTGTGTACAACTGAACAGCTTTATCTCTGCCTTCTTTGCACTCTCCCTTCAGGTATTTACACATTGAAGATATTCTGTCTGAACCTTCTCTTTTCTGGGCTGAACAGTCCCAGATCTCTCAGATCTCCCCTTTCCTCACAGGAGAGACACTTCAGTCCCTTCGTCATTTCAGTGGCACTTTGCTGGACTCCATCCAGCAGCTCCACATCTCCCTTGTGCTGGGGAGCCCCAGACTGGACACAGCACCCCAGGCACCCCTCACCAAGAAGGGGCTGCAGCTCCCTCAGCCACAGTCCCAACACAACCCAGGTCACCCTTGGTGGCCTTTGCTGAGAGGGCACATTCCTGGCTCTCGTTCAATTTGCTGTTCCCCTGGACTCCCAGGGCCTTTCCCTCAGGGATATCACTTGAAGGATGATATACAGCAGCTTTACAATTATGCTGCTTTTATTCCAAGTAGGCAAATTCTTCAATTCAAAGTAGCAGCGAGAAGGGGGGGTTTAAGGATGGTATTTATATACTGCCTAAGTTGAAGGGCAGGAATGGTGACTGTGACAGATCAGGAAAGAGGGGCATCTGCTACTGAAAAACACAAAATGAGGTAGGTTAACAGGATGGCAGTAAATAAGAAGGGTAAATTAGGTAGGGAAGCAAAGCTAAGGAGATGATTATATGATGCATGATGGTCTTTCCTAAAAACATACTGCTGTCTCCTCCCAACTCACTACAAAAGTTAACTCACTGCTTCCACACTAGTTACTTACAACCTTCCAGTCTCAGAATCAACACCTGTTTCTGGCATTATGCTATGATTTCCTGAAGTCTACTGGAATCTGAAACACTGAAAGATTGAAAAAAAACCCCAAAGCCTAATGCAAAAAAACCCAAAACAAAACCAGAAAGACAGCAGAGTTTAAGCAACACTCAGATGGCCTCAAATTCAGGTCATGAGACAAATACTTCTGAGAAAAAATAAAAGTGAAAAAAAATTTTGTCATATAAAACCCATGATTTTGCTCACAGTGGAAACAATCTTGTTTTCATTTTATAAGTAACTGGTTTATGAAACTACAAATACAGAGAAATGAAACCACTTCCTTTCACAACATAGCTGGAAACTGAGCATTACTGACAGCTTATAACAATTAGCAATGAACAACAATTTATCTTCCAGAAAGTCACTGCCACACTGTCAGCTTCAGCATAAAGATCAGAGAAGATGTGGAAACCCTTTAAAAAAGTCAAACCCTAGCCCAGATGAATCAATACAGTTCAAACAATTTAAAGTTGTACCCTCTGTTGTGCTGCTTTCTCCAGCCTGGACTCCTGCTTCCTGAATGGTCTCCTCCTTTGCCGTGGTGCCCATCACCAACCCTGTGCTTCCAGAAGTCTCTTCCACTTCAGGAGCAGTTACTTCTTTTGCTTCTGACTCCTGTGCCTCCTTCACCTTTTTCTTCTCTCCTCTGGATACCACTTTTTGCTCTCTGTCTTCCCGTGTAGCTGCTGAAGTTTTCAGCTGAATTGCTGCTACTTGGGTTCCGATGGACTTTTCCTCCAAACAATCAGATTTATGAGTGACACCAGTCAGGTCTTGGCTTCTCACCACACCTGGTTTTAAGACCAACTTCTGCCAATCTGCTGCTTCTGGAGTGGATTTTACTTTGGGGTCTCTTGCTTTTGATGTTTCCTGGCTGACTGATTTTTTAGCAAATTTGACCTGCTTTACAGGAGATACAATTATTTCTGGTTGGCGTGACAGCTTCTTAAGTCCATACTCTTTGTGGGATTTCTGGAATAAATTCTCTTTTGCTAGCATTGATGCCTTTACTGCTATGTTCTCAGAAAAGATGGGATCTCGCTTAGGAAACTCAACTTTAGTTTTAACAGCAACTCCTGAATCCTCATTTTCTTCCTCAGAATCTGAGCTAGAATCTGACTCTGAGCTGGATGAGGACGAAGTCTGTTCCTCGACTAACTCTTTCCTCAAGCCTCCTGTTGCAGGTGCAGTGAGGTTTTCCTCCCCAAGGGAGGAAACAACTCCTCGCTGAGGAAATGCAACCACAGTTTTTCTTGACATGAACCTCCTCGTGTCTTCAGCGGGTTTTGAAGCTTCCTCGAGGCTGGTACTAGATATGCTCTCATCTTTGTCTGTGGACAGTAGGAGAGAGCTAGAAGACAACATTTTAGGAAATTCACCTGGTGCCTTGGTGGCAAGCAGCTTGGTGCTTCCCTGTGGTGCCACTACATCTGGGAAACGGCATAAAGAGGATTATCATCATTATATCCCACACTGCTGTTACTCAGTGATCTCAGTCACACAATTCAGACTTTCCAAGACAATCTGGCACAAAAATAAACTGAAAGGAATTGTTATACTAAATACAGGCACTGCAAAGCAGGAAGTTTAAGACATTCTAAGTTAAAGAAGCTGGAGTTCTAGTAGCACTTAACAGTTTTTGCTGCTGCAAGGCTGAAACTCATGGGATAAATCCTTATGTTCCTTCCTTTGCCAGACCCCTCCAAGAGCTGGTTTTCCCTGTGCTTCAGCTCTGCATCACTGAAGTGGTTTGCAGACACCTCCCTACCTCAGGTGAGTGTTAAGATGGGTGGTTAGCCAAGCTCTCCAAATATGCTGCTGCAGAGACAAAACTTGTACGTGAACAAGGCAGCAAAGCAGAAACCACAGTAAACAGACACAGCAACAGCTGCTGGCAATAGTTACCCTGGAAGCAGAAGGGAGGAAGGACTCCCAAAAGGCAAAGTACTGGAATAAGAGATACCTGAGGACATACATGACAATATTAATTGTTCATTGCCCACATGACCTGCCAACTGAATTGTCTCTCCATGGCTTAACATTATTTCCCCAAGAGACTTTAATCTCCTCCAGTCTTCATTTCATATTTTTGATTTGAGACCTCTTTGTAAAACAAGACTTAGAAGATCTCCTGATGCTTCATGTTTCATAGAATCATAGAATCAACTGGGTTGGAAAAGACCTCTGAGATCATCAAGTCCAACCCTTGATCCAACCCCGCTGTGGTTCCCAGCCCATGGCACTGATGCCACATCCAGTCTCACCTTAAACACCTCCAGGGACGGTGAATCCACCCCCTCCCTGGGCAGCCCATTCCAATGTGTGATTACCCTCTCTGTAAAAAATTTCTTCCTAATATTCAACCTAAACCTCCCCTGGCACAGCTAAAGGCTGTGCCTTCTTGTCCTACTGCTGGTTCCTGGGAGAACAGACTGACGCCCACCTGGCTGTGGCTGTTTGCCTCTCTCTCTCTCTCCTCTCTCATGGATACTTGCAGTAAGTTAAATTCTCCAGACAAGGAGAAGAGAAAGCAGCAATTTTTGGGCCCTTCCAAAGAGTACCCAATCCCCCTTGGATGCTTGTGCCAATATCATCCTCAAGAGGCTGAGCAACAGCAAATACTGTTGTGGTTATAGAAAACAGGAGTACAAAGAGGACTGGGACCACATTGAGAAGATTCACTATGGCTGAGATTGGCTGTAGCGAAGCCAACTCCATTATGAATTGCACCACTTCCAACCAGCAGAGTAATCCAACAGATTTCCAGCCCGTTATGCAGATTTATCTGCACAGTTTGGAAACTCAGATCTACTTTGTAAGACCATAAAACACATGCAGTTTTCCCCTCACTAGTATTTTACAGTAATACCTTGTGTGATTCAAGGAGTTACTACCACATAGTTCTGAATAGAAGCAAGTCTTCAGCAATGTCCAAATGAAAACACCACAGAAAAGACAAACACATGAAATTAAAAGCAAAGTATTCAAGAAAGAAATAAGAGGTTTTATCATAATGAAATACAAATGAAGAAAAGTATCAAGTTTACTCTACAGTTAATATTTGGAATAATTTCAAGCACATACTTCTCTCTGTCAGCTGGAAGGTGCAGGGCAGGAAGGAAGAGCAGAGGGAAGCAGGAGGATGGGAAGCCACCTTTGGAAGAGGTCTGACTCCCTGCACAGCCTGACCCAGCCAAACAGCAGCCTGGAGGAACTAACACGTGAGGAAACATCACTCAGGATTGAAGAGTTCTTCAAGGAAGCAAACAGGGAGACCAAACTAACACAAGACTGGCCAAAGGGAGGGCAGACAAGGGTAAGCTGAGCAAAAGCTGAAGAATTATTAATGTTAAAACATCCTAAGAAACCAAGAAGGCAGGTGACACTCAACTTGCCTATTAACAGTAGGTGCTACTGTAAAAGTACTTTAAACACTTAAGCTTGGATATGTGAAAAACACAGACTTTATGACTAAAAGCTGAAACATGTACTCCAAACTTTGCACCAGCTGATCTGTATTTGCACCACTTTGCCAGAAGAACAACACATCCAACTGTGCAACAGGAATATCATTCCCAGATGCATTCTTCCTGATGCCTCTAACATCAGCACCGTCACCAGGATGTGTTTAAAGCACGTTCTCACTCAGAGAGGTGACAGGCAGAAATGACAGTTCTATTTCCCTTCATTGACTCTGTATGTGAACCCGACCATTTTATCCAAGCAAGGACAATTTGCACATCCTGTTCCAGCCAGAACCTGGAAAAGGCAGCTGAATCCTTTCCATCTTAATTAACCTGAAGTAATTGCAGGGGAAGCAGCTGGAAGAGGAGGCCTAAGAAGCCTCCTGACACAAATCAGAGCTGCAGGACAGCGAATCCAGAGCTGATACTGAGGTACATCTTAAATACACTTAATGCAAAAAAATAAATTCTAACAAAAAACAATTTGCTGTTCAATGAAGGTTATACCAATCTATGCAGTGAAGGTTTTCTTAATGGAACAGCCAAGCTTTTAGTTGCTTTTAAGAGGATGCCAGAAGAGGATGCATTCAACTCTTTCAGTGATCCTTTCAACAGCAGCCAACAAGCCTGGCCACTCCTACCTATGGCTCCATGAAGCTTTGCTGTTAAAGTCCCTGAATCTCTAATTTGAGACAGGAATCCTCACTGAACCAGTGCATCTCCACTTAAAACTAGCATTTTGTACAAGATACCCTTGTTTGAAATTTGTATTCCTGTTTTGACTTTGGTCAGGGACAAAAGGGGCTCAAAAACTCCTGAATGGGGGATGCAGTGCAGCACTCAAACCCAGGTTCAGGCATTGCCCTGCTTGGAAAACCTATAGGGCAGGAAGCATTACAACCAAATTTAACACATCAGGGCTGTGGCAGCTTCTCAACCTGCTGCCTTTTAACCCTGATAATCCAAACATTTCAAAGGACAAGGGCAAACATCTAAAGTCGAAAACTAAATTCTGCACCTCATTAAAAAGAGTGACTTGGTACATTCTTTTCCATCAAATTTCAGGCAGCTTGCAAAGCTTCTTTATATTAAGACAAATGTTATTAAATCTCTGCTTAAGTCTGGTCAGGCATCACAGCAGTTAATGTATTACAAAATTATAGAATGGTTTGGGTTGGAAAGGACCTTAAAGGTCACCCAGTTCCAACCCCTGCCATGGGCAGGGACACCTTCCACTATCCCAGGTTGCTCCAACCTGGCCTTGGACACTTTCAGGGACGCAGGGGCAGCCACGGCTCCTCTGGGCAACCTGTGCCAGGGCCTCTCCACCCTCACAGTAAATAATTTCTTCCAAATATCTAATCTAAACCTCCTCTCTGTCAGTTTGAGGCCATTCCCCCTTGAACACGTTACACAGTTTGACATTGCCCCACCCAGCCTGGCCTTGAGCATTACGGTGAAGGCAAACACGAAAGAAGTTGTCAAAATCACAAATATAAATATATATGCATTTATATTATTTATAAAAAATACACGTATATGGCCTATAAATAGAAATACATCCCACATAGCCACGTTCCTACGAGACCTTTACTTCTACTGTACTTTTTACTTTTTACTGTACTGTACTTTTACATTTACTTTTACTATATTGTACATTTTATCAGAAACCCTCGTTTACATGGCGATGACCTTCCACTCATTGGATTTCCCAGCTCACCCACCTCTCTCGAGAAGCGACCATCCTCAACCTCTCTTCACCTATCCCTTTTACTGACACCCCGATACCACTCGGAATCAAAAGAACCCTCTTACTCTTTTTTGGCGGCGTCCCGCTTTGTTTATTTGGCTTCGTGCAGAGCCCGCGCGCCTCCAGCTGCAACACCTGCAGGCCGCGATACAACAAGAATTAAGAAAGCGGGACGAAATGCTCCGAATTGAGTGGATTTGGGGACGGGGGAAGAAAGGAACTGCGCTGAGGACCCGCTGTACCTGGCGCGTCGCCGCCCTCCCACCGCCCTCAGCGCCGCGGCCGCCGCCATCTTGCCCGGGGCCTCACGGCGGCTCCGGCCCCTCACGGCGTGTGGGCGGGCGGCGCGGGTGAGGTTCGGGCGCGGCGCGGTGACGTACGCGTGCTGCGGCGGCGGTCGAGCGCATGGCGGGCGCTGAGGGAGGAGGAGAGGATAGGAGAAGGAGCCACCGGCGATGGGCACTGAATTGAAGCACCTGCCGGAGGTCGCCAGCCGCCGGGCCCGCCTCGACCCTGGCGCTCCGCGGGGCCCTGATGGTGGCCAGCGGCGGGGGAAGGCTGCTGGCGGCGGTGTGGGGAGCCCGGGTCAGTGCTGGGCGGGTTTGCCGCGGGCCTGTCCGGCCGTGCGTGTGCCCTGCGGTGGGAGGTGAGGGGAGAGCCCCAGAGCCGCTGCCCGCGCTGCTTTTTGTGGCTTTTCCGCGCTTCTTGTCGGCGTCTTCTGCTACAGAGACCTGGCTTTTAAACTTTTTATACTTTCACGGTTTTCCTCCACGAGGTGCCGGTCACTGCTGTGTGAACGACTGTACGTTAACATTGATTATATATGTGTTACGTACGTACATATATATATATATACACACATAAATGCGCACATTTATATATGTGTACACATATACATATATATAACATATACACGTATGCATATAACATAGATTATGCATATAGTGATAAATGTATACAACATATGTAGCAGAACATATAATAATATGCAGTTATATGATATATACACACACATATAATGTATGTGACATATAGCTTTTATTTAAAACTATAAATGTATATAATATACATATAATACAGAATTATATAGAGAGTATGTTGATATGTATGTGTGTATATATATATATATCTCACAGCATACACTGAGTTGGAAGGCACCCACAAGGATCATCCAGTCCAGCCCCTGGCCCTGCAAAGGACCATCCACAAGAGTCACATATAAAATAACTGTGTATTTGATGTCTATGAGTAAGATGCACATAAATATCTCCAAGGTGGGTGTTGGAGGATGGTGCCAGGCTCTTTTCTGTGGTGCCCAATGACAGGACAAGGAGCAACGGCCATAAAATAAAACACAAGAAGTTCCGCCTCAACGTGAGGATGAACTTCTGTACCTTGAGGGTGGCAGAGCACTGGGCCAGCAATGCAGGGAAGACGTGGAGTCTCCCTCTCTGGAGACATTCCAAACCCACCTGGAGGAGTTCCTGTATCACCTGCTCCAGGTGACCCTGCCTTGGACTGGATGATCTCCAGAGGTCCCTTCCAAACCTGACAATTCTATGATTCTGTGACTGGGTGGATGCTGCTGACAGATAATGTCAAGTCTGACACGAGTGAAATATGTGTAAAATACAGGGTTCCTTTGCCAGCAGATGACGATTTCTTTTTTGGCATCTCTGTGCAATCCAAGGTTTTAAGCTTTGGCCACATCTGCAGCACTCTGGGAGCCCCCTTGGGCAGAGGTTGTCCCTCAAGATGGGGGTCAGCTGTGCAAGTAACCATGACATAAGAGCATGTTCCAAAAGAGTTGCCACCCTTCGTAGTTAAGCTCATGGTTGTTCTAGTCCCGGTGGGTTTAGTCTTCTTTCAATTTTGCAGTGGTGAGAGTCTCTTCGTGTACGATTGTGTCAGCGCGGAGAAGAAGACCTTGGGAGATAAAGGGTGAGGAAATCTGCTCTGCAGTCTCTGTGTTCCTGGAGGGGGCATCTCCTCCTGAGGTGGTGTGGCAGCGAAGGCAATAAAAGAGTCACAGGATGACTCCTTGAGCAGGTGATGGGTTGGTTTTGCTAACCCTGATGGGTTTGTGTGTATGTTTTTCTTTGCTTCATTCCAGAGACGTCACTGTACTCTTTTTTATTTGTTAGAGAAACACCAGTAGTACAGGGAAGCTGTGGATGCCCCATCCCTGGCAGTGTTCAAGGCCAGGCTGGATGGGGCTCTGAGCAACCTGGTCTAATGAAGAGTTTCCCTGCTCAAATGGCAGGGGAGTTGGAATGAGATAATCTTTAAGGTCCCTTCCAACCCAAACCATTCTGTGATTCTGTAATAAATGAATCTCAGTGATTGTTCTCATTCAAGACATTTATGTAAAAATGCTGCATTTTTTATTATACCATCTAAGACAAAAAAAAAGACCCCACAAACCAATTACATAACTTCTCCTTCAGGTCCATTTTCTAAGTCATGAGAGTTCAAAACTGAAAAAGTATTTTTCTTAGTTTAAATTCAACCAGTGGACATTGTTTTACCTGTAGCCAGTTTTACTGATTTCACCTAACTTTGAATCAAGCTCTGAAAGCACAAACTCTAATGTGGTTGGTTTGTTTGTTAAAGCAAGTATTCAGGCAAGGCTTAGACTTTATATCAGTTTTCTTTTCCATGGCTTTTTTCTTTGTATTAATGTTCAAATTGGCTGAACCTCTTAAGCATAAATAAAACTTTTTAGGATTTTGCTTGTTCTTCACGAGCCTTCGTGGTGGTGTAAGAACAGCCTTCTCAAGGACTTTGGTGTCTCTTGTTGTGAACTATTCCCCTTCTCTCTATTAGGCAGGATGGAAAAGCAACAGATAAAGGAACTGATGACATCCTGGCTTTTGCCTTCTCCCCATCAGGGGATTATTTTGCCTTGACAGATGACAACAAACGTCTGATCCTGTTCCGGACAAAGCCTTCCTGGGAATGTGTTAGTGTCAGGTAAGGCAGCAGGATGTTGCATATCACTTTGGAGTTATGGCTGATTGATTCAGAGTTCTGAAATAGGAGTACTTGGTATGTTGATATTTGTTATCACTAAGCTTTTTGTTGTTGTTGTTGTTTGGGTTTTTTTGTTTGTTTTCCCTTGCTCAAAAGAATTTCATGTTTTTGGGACTCCAGAGATATTTGTTAAGAAATGATGCATGGTCTGCCCCACACCAAGAGTGAGACTGCAGATATTTACATCATTGGCCAAGGGAAGATAATCTCTTTTCTTGTTCCAAAATACAGTATTTGCATCTTTAAGAACTGAAACTTTACCCACTCCTAGTGAACACTTCAGATTGGGGTCTGTAATAGTGATGCTGAGCAGTTCAGTGAGTGCATTGTCTGTTTTGATTTGGAGGAGGAGATGTTTTGGGGAGTTTGTGACTTTTTTTTGAAGTGCATCTTTAGAGGTGCTGCAGCTGTTTTCCTTCTGTACATTCCTCTTGAGGAAACAGCCTGCAGCTGTCCACCAGAGGTCCTCCAGTTACAAGATTTCTGCTGCTGCTTGTGACAATTGTCTGTACAAAAAAAAAAAAAGGACCAGGAAGGGCTTTCTGAGAAAGTAGCTGAGCTTGTGACAACTCTGCTTTTGGTGGTCTCTGACAAACGTGAGGCCCCGGTTGCAAACCAGAATGGAATGTCTGTAGCTTGGCTGTGTGTGTAGGGTGCAGGATGGACCTCTGGCGGGTTAAACAGTGTTGGAGTGAGGAAGTAATCGCGGCATGAAGCTTTGTCAGGGAGGTTTAGGTTGGATATTAGGAAAAGAGTCTTCCCCCAGAGGGTAGCTGGGCACTGGAACAGGCTCCCCAGGGCAGTGGTCACAGCACCAAGGCTGACAGAGCTCAAGGTGCAGAGTCAGGGGTAGGACTTCGATGATCCTTGTGGGTCCCATCCAGCTCAGGATATTCTGTGATTCTGTGACAAAGCCAGAAATGGCAAAACTCTGTTCATTCTGTGTTCTGCCTTCCCTGCTGCCCTGCCTTGTGTGTCTTGCCTGTAACGTGCCCTGGGATAATTGTTTGGTGGTTTACTTTCTGCTAAAAGGTCAACTAGGACCACAGCTGGATTTTTTTGGGAACGTCATTACCTCCTATTAGGAAACTGGGAAACAGACTAAAGACTGTCTGCATGGATAAAGGAATGCCAAAATTGAGCTCTGTAACTTATATCTGTGTTTTGTGGCAAGCTGTATAAGTTTCGTGTGGTGCTGCCTTTTGTAGTCAGCTCATTTCAGACAAAGGGGAACTTTTGAATCTTTGTGCTTAAGATCCTGAGTAGAACAATGAATTTGGAGCAAGACTTATTCTTGTTGGCAAGGTAAACTGTTTTGGAATTGTGTTGTCTGGCCTGCAGTGTGTTAGTAGGCATTCTTGTCCTATACAATTCCTGTTGTTGTGGTGTTCCTTTAAACAGCCCCTAAAAATGATTAGAATTTCTGTCTTCCTACCTGAAGTGTAGTATATTGGTTTTTTGCTTCCAGATGGCCACTGAATTTCAGAGTGGGTGAATATAAATGTCCATTCCACATGATCCTTGGCATCCACAGGCCTGTATTAACAAACAGGACATAAGTTTTCTGGCATATATGGTCCTTATATTTATCTGAGTAGTTGTAAGAAAACTGTTACCTGCTACACTGGCAACTGGAACTGTAAGATGCTGGCAGATGATGAGGGAAAGTCAGAGTTCAAGTTCAGGGCTTTGCCTGGACAAGGTGCCCTGAGACTGTGACTCTCTGACTCAGGCTGTGAGGAAGGGCTTCTTTTCACAGCACAAAGTGGTGACTGGAAAAGTAGTTTCTACCCAGTTTTTAAATGTGTTGCTCCTAAGGACAAATCCTACCTTGTCTTTTCTGCATATTTAACTTGTATTTTTGTTATGGAGAGTGCAAGAAAGATCATTGGCCTTCTTTAGAATCTTGGCATGCTGCCTAGGCCAAGTGCTCAGTTGAGTAGGTACCAAAGCAAAATGCAGTCATGAACTTTAATGATCTCCTTTTTTTTTTCTCCCCCCCAGGTGTTTGCTATTACATAGTTCAGACATTCACTAGTTCTCAAAAGAGCTATTTCAACCCCACAATGTTATTCTCATTGCTGCCATTTAGAGAATGTTGCATTTGAGAGGGTTTTTTTTGTGCAGTCTCTTGGTGTGTTTTACTTTCAGACTTGCTGAATCTGTCCTCCAGAGCTGTTCAAGGTGTGCCATTTTTCTTTCAGGTTTGTGAACAGGAGATGCACAGCCCTGGTTATTACAGCTGCAGAGGATAAGATTTTCGTTGCAGACAAGTCTGGTGATGTCTATTCTTACTCAATAACAGAACCTCAGGCAGATGGAAAACTTGAGCTGGGTCATGTGTCTCTGCTGTTGGATGTGGTGAGTGTGTGCATTGTGTATCTACTGTACAAATCTGCATTCCTGGTTGTATTTGTCCCAGATTTATGAGGGATTGTTGCTTTTGTCCCAGATTTATGAGGGATTGTTGCTTTTGTCCCAGATTTATGAGGGATTTTTTTTAATATAATGTGTGTGGACTGGATTACTTCTCACTTGAGTTCGTGTCATCAAAGTTTGGCAAGGAAAGAAGCTTATCAAAAGGGTTATCTGTCCTGGGAATGTTGAAAAAGATTTGGTGATGGAATATATATGGGAATTCACCCAGTCTGTCATGTCAGTTGAGCTGTTTCAATGTGATAAGTTTCTTTTTAGTGTCAGTGGGATTTCCACCTGTACAGTGGCTTTTACTGGACTTGGAAGTCAACATCTCTTGTCTTAGTGAGGGAGAAAATTACTGTCATAAAGATTTATGCTTAAATTGTCAGGGGAAAAGAGGGACTTAGTGTTTTCAGCTGCCTTTTGGAATGAGCAGATACAGATAGTTTACTGCTTTTCTGTTTTCCTAGTTAAGGAGAATTACAAGCCTTGAACTACTGGGCACTAAAACTCTCCCTTTACCAACAGGCTCTGAGTCCTGATGACCAGTACATCCTCTCTGCAGACAGAGATGAGAAGATCAGAGTCAGCTTGACAAAGGCTCCTTACAGTATTGTATCCTACTGTATGGGACACAGAGAGTGAGTTCATTGTGGGCAAAAGTCATTGTGTGCAGCCCTTCCCTGCACATCCACCCTCAGTGTATGAAATTGTCTCCTCAAATCATATTAAACAAGACCCTGGTCTGAGATAGAGTCATTGAATGGTCTGGGTTGGAAGGGACCTTTAAAAGTGATCTAATCCAATCCCCCTGCAATAAGTAGGGACATCTTCAACTAGATCAGGTTGCTCAGAGCCCTGTCCAACCTGGCCTGGAATACATCTAAAAAATCAATATTTAAATTAGGAATGCATAAGAAAGGGTTACATAAAGCAGCTGTGATTGTCTTGTTTCACAGTCCTGAATTTTTTCCTCTCCATGGGGCATGTGGTGATTCTTGCTGGATCTATTTTGCCTGCAGGCACCTGCCATTTCTGCTTTGACATGAAAGTTTGTATTACAGTGACCAAATCTCTTCTGTTTTTTTTTACTCCATGGCCTCAAAATTGTGCCTGTTTTCAAAAGCAAGACTGTTCCACTCAGGTAATGTTCTGCTCAGGTCACTGTGCTTTAGGTTGCTGAGCTCTAAGATAATAATGAACTCCAAAAGTTCAGGTCCTCAGTACTCACCAAAGACAAGTCATGGTAGACACAGCAGTATTAAAACCATCACTGGTGTGTTTTAAAAGAATCTGTTGGTTAATGTTTTTAATGTGCATCATGAACTGAGAAAGGACAACATGCTACCTGAGTACATCTGTCTCCACTGGCATTTTTTGATCTAAATGACAGTGTTCTCAGCTGGGAGGAAGTCAGTAGAATTCCCTGAGTGCAGGTGGGGGAATATATTTCTTTATTAAATAGAAAGTCAGTAGTTTGTGTAGTGCATATATACTAAGTACCATAGACCTGTTTTGTTCTTCCTCCTCATTATCTTGATGTGGAAAGTCTGTTTGTTTATTTTAAGGTTCTCTTTAAAATTGGTGGTTTTTCTTACTGTGTGTGTTTAAAGACCAGAGTGTCATGCAAGAGAGTTCAACTTTTGACTGCTTTCCCTTTAGGTTTGTAAGCAAAATATTTGTAATACCCAACTGTCCTGATCTGCTGTTGTCAGCCTCTGGGGTATGTATTGCAATTTCTTTGGAAAAATTGTTTTGTTTTCTTTTTTTTTAAACTTTAGACTAGTGGTTTGGCCAAGTACCTTGGGATATTTGGAATAATCTTTCCTAGTTTACAGCACAGCCTTCTCTCCTTCCCTCCTTTTCTTGGCTTTCTGTTCAGTATTCAACCACTCTATTGGTAGAACATATAAGAGCCTTTTACTGTGCTTATAGTAAAAGCCATCTCTGGGATGGCAAAATCAATGTCCTGAGTATTTCTTCAACATGAATGCTTGCTTTGGAGCACAGACAGACTTCAATCATTGGGCCATTGAAGAACTTTGAATCAAATGGGTTTTGTGCCAGCCTGCCATGATGATGAGTGTCTTGAGAATGAACGACTTAGAATCACAGATTATTATTTTTCTGAGGTTTAAGATGAGGAAATTGTCCTCTCTACACCCTCCCATGTGCTTTCCCCTGTGAGACTCGCTCTGAATTATGTTCTTTTCAGTATGTTCTCATCCAGAGCATGTTGTGCAGAGGTTGCAGTGCAGTGCTGCACAGTGCTTGGGTGAGGACTGAAGAAGGGAGTTTTCCCTCCTTTCCCTCCCCAGCCCTTTTCCTAAATTGATGGCATCCTGCTGCCATGCCAGACCTGCACAGAGCAAGTAGATGGTGTTGGTCTAAAAGAAGGGAAACTGTTATTTTGTTTCCCAGACTGCCAAAACTGCATAGGAAACAAACAGTGTGTTCTGTGAAGATGTGAAGATCATAATAATTCTTAGCATTTGCTTCCCTGAGGCTCTTGTCCCTCTAATTATTTAAGCAGCTCCAGTGTTAGTGCTGTGCACGACTGTATTTCATTGTTAGCAAATGCCCTTTGATGACTCTGTTTTTCCAGAGAGGTGTTTAGCTTCTCTCCTGGAGGTTACTAAATCAAATGAGAATTTGGATGATAACAAGAGCAGGGGGCAGAGAAGGGCAGCCTGAAAGAATTGCCATTAGAATGCTGAGCACATGTGTTACTGTGCTATTGGAGACAGACTTGAAATGCACTTCTCCAGCTACCCAATTTCCACTTCAAAAGGGGAATTAAAATTAGCATGATTGAATAATTTAGAATGGAGGGGAAAATTATGTTAATTAAAATGCTTTATCTGCAATTTGAGGTCTTAACTAAGTGACTATTTAGCAGCTTCTGTGGGGAGCTCTTCAGGGAAATAAGGTTTAGCTGAAGGCCATGAGTGGCTTCTCTTTGCCTGAGGTGCTGTTAGTAATAGACTTGTGTCCACTTCCATCTGTTCAGGACTCGACTCTGAGACTCTGGGAATATAAAAGTGGAGAAGAAGTGCACTGCTGTCAGCTAAGCAGCATCTGTGGGCCCGAGGCAGCCAAAACTGACCAGGTAATTTTGTTAAAAGTGTCTCCCTTCAGTCAGTGAGTTTAGAACTTATGTGAGACCTAAAAACTGTTACAGTAGCCTGGGATTTTGGGAAAGGAGGAAAGTCCCTGAAATCCATTCCTGTGTCTTGTGTGCATTTATAAAAAGTACCAAGCAGTGACCAGAAGAAGCTGCTTGTAATTCTTCCCAAATACAAGTTCTGCATGGTAGACAAAGCCTTCACTTGAATTTTTTTCCAAAAACACAGGTGCTATGTTAGTCAGGCAATATCTTGGAAAGATCTAAACATTCACCCATTTTTTAAAATGCTTAAAATTTCAAATGAAGTGTTAAAGTTGCAATTTTTCTGAGCAAAAAAGCAGCTTTGTAATATTTGTAACCAGTGACCTGCAGTACTGCCCTGTGGAGTCAAAACTGGGCTTGTTCCTTTAGGTTGTTCTGCAGCTGGATAGTGTCCAAAATTAAAATCTATGAGTCTTACATGAAAACTGAATACCCCAGGGGCTCTCCTGAGCTTCCAGCCCGTACTTGAGTGGTGTCACACACACAATTTGGGGTGCTGCTGTGATCTGAGGTGTTACTCTGATGTGAGCAGTCGTTCTGGTTGTGTTTGACCTCTGGTTTTGTTCTTTCTCGTGCTGTGGTGTGTCATAAGACTTGTTAGCAGTGAAACAGCACCAGTCCCTGTCCCAGCTGTGTGGATGGTGTTAAACCAGCTGCTGACCTGTTGGGTTGTTTAAAGAGTTACCACCCATCCTGCTGGGTGTGTTTGTCCTGGGAATGTCTAAAAACACTTCTTTCTCTGAAGACCACAGCTGTTTCCCAGGTGTTAGGGAATGGGAAGCCTGTATCCATGCATGGCTTTTGAGACAGATCCACTGTGGAATCCATGTCCAAGCTGGAATTGAATTGACAAGCTCTGTCTTCCCTCCCTTGTGTTATGTTATGGGTTCAGTAGTCAAAGTATGTCGTGCTTGGCCTCTCCACACAGTTGGGAACCACTTGTATCACAGCTTTCAAGGCTCAGATATTGGAAATCTTTTGATTTTGGCCCAGAGTTAGCAGGGATTCTGGGTGGTGTCTATATGGACAATTCAACCTGCTCCTGAGCTTGAAAGTGTATTTTAAAGCACACCTCAGCCAGGTACCTGTCATGCACATTCACAAGGCCTCTGGCTCATTCCAACTTGATGTTGGTGCTTGAAATATTTGAAGAAGCTGTTGCTGGGTTTTTTCACAAGTGAAAACCAGGGGTTACAAAATGAGGTGATGAGCCCATCTAGTTGGTATCCACTGATAGTCTGGGTGCAGCAGGATTTGAGTGAGGAAGGGAGAACTGAGTGTGAGGCAAACCTACAGAATTACCATGTACAACCTTCTGGAAATAAGTGGCTCAGGGAGTAGCTAATAAGAGTGCTTTGTTGAAACAATGTGGTTTGGTAGCCATGCAATCCATGTCTGCAGCAACCTTGCAAGGAACTTCTTTTGGAGGGAATAATGATTTTATTTTAAAATATTTTGCCTTCTAGGTTTATAGGATCACTGAGGACTAGTAAGCAACTAGCTGTGAAGTGGGGAATCCAATGATTAATTTTAAAAATGCTACTTGTTGCTTAGTCTGGCTTAGCATTTAGTAAGATGGCTTACATGTAAATTAACAGTGCTTGGTCTCACACTGAATCTTAACTTCACTGCTTAGAATTTTATCAAAATAATATTAAGCTATGTAATGGACTATAAATGTAGCATCAGATAAACTAACAAATTTCAAAAAACTTAGTTACTGCAGGCAGGAATTGATTTAAAAATATTTTTTTACTCTTTCAGAATGTTTTTGAAGGCTCTTGACTGCAGTTTACTAATACTTGCCTTGTCTCCTAACACACCTGATAAAGTCCCTTCCATAGGGTACTCTTTATGCTGATGTCTCAGGAGAAATCTGGGGTGCTCTTTGTTTGAGGAGTCTCTGTTTAGCTTCTTTATCTTGGTGTGAGTAAGCAAAGACAGAAAGGGAAAGCCCACAAACCGTGAGCTAATAAATATAACACAGCAATCATTTAATAAACCCCATTCCTGCGGTGTTTTGCACTTGTTCCATCCACTTCCATGTGTCTCCTGATGGTGGTTTTGGAAGCTCCAGGCTGTCCTGTTTCTTGAATCTGTGAAATCCTGCTGACTGCCCACCCTTACAGGTGTTTCAGAGGGAAAGGAGACTTGTGTTTTGATGGCATCATAGTGCTAGAAATGTCAGAGGTGACGTCTGGTGACAGTATTTAGCCATGCTGTGCATCCAGGTGTATCACAGATCATCTTCACAACCTAGTGAGACATTTAACAGTCTGAATTTAAGGAAACAATCTCTTGAGTCTGCACTTTACAGGTTGTAATTAGCACATTGTCTGCAAATGAGTCTGCAACCAAAGATAGAAGTGCTTTTTCTTTTCTTTAGTGTTATAATTCATTTTTACCATTAATAAACACTGTGGATGCTCTGAAGCTTGAGACACAGCTTGAAGCACAATGAGAATGGAATCATCAGTAATGATGGGTCATGTGAGCACAAAAATGTGGGCTTATTTTGCTTGGCAGATGATGAATATGTGTCTGTTTTGGGAATGTAGGAGTGTTTTGAGCAGTGTAGCATTGGTTTCAGCTGATGGGTTGCAGATCCTCAGTTCATTTTCCCACTAGAATGGGAGTAATTCTCTAATTCCATAGTGCTATATAAATATTTTTCCTGCTTCAGAGCTTTCACCTCATCTGATCCTCTTGACAGCAGAAGCTTGTTTAAAGTCCAGAATGTGAATTGCACAACTCTACCCCAGTGCACCAGTACAGTAATTTCTTATAGGGTCACCTCTTCTCCCAGATGACATCAAAATATAATTTTAACATGTTGCCAGACTGATAACAGTGTTGCATAAACCCTGATTAGTTCAGAGAGTATCAAGTGAACATCTGTTTATCACAGACTGTTCCTTTAGCTCTTCCTTAACTGATTTCATGGGCTTGTCCTTGACCAAGATACTACTGTAGGTCTTGCATTTCCTTTGCTGATTGTTAACTTGCCCACACATGGGAAGGAAAGAGCTTGGAAAGAAGTTACATTTTTTTGTCTCTTTCCAGCTGTGAATAAAACTTGGTTCAAAGCAAAAATCATCCTCCTCCTCCCTCCCCCAGTGAGGGTGGGGGAAAGCTGCTGCCTAATTGAGGTTCACAGAACCCTTTGTCTCTCTAACAAAGCACTTGGCTGTGTAGGTGGGCACTTTCTTGCATGTTTGTCAGGCAACAGGTAGAAAGGCAGAGCTTTATTATTAGAAATAAATATCACAGGTTTCAGCTTTGTTAATATATGTATCTCTTGGCTTCTTCCCTCAAGTGTCTGAAGAACCCACTGGTGGTTTACAATAAATAGGAGCTGTCAGTTCTGCTCCAGAGCTGTGGTGTAAATGGCTCTGTACTGCAGAAAGTACATTTAGACTTATTAGCTACAGAGAACCTTTCTCATTCAGCCCACTCATCCTACCAGGTATTGGGAACCATAAGCATTTTTTATGTCTGTGTGAAACAGGGGTCCTGATGCTAAATGTGGACTAACAACTTTGTGTTTCTCCAGAGTAGCAAGAGATTAGTCCCATCTGTTCCCAGGAGCCCTGAAACATATCAGTCCTTTTGATAATGGTTTTTATAAAGTGCTCCTCTTCTGTACAAGCAGGCAATTGAGCATGTGAGTGAAAAGTCTCTGCCTGCTGTTCTTGCTTCCCTCTCATGAGATTGTATCACACAGTGGATCTTTTCTTCTCATTTGCTGGAGATGCACCGTGGAACCCTGGTTTTCAGCTGTATTTATACCATTAATTAACTTTCCTTCCCACAGTTGGTTTATCTTTTAGTAGTTGCATCATGTACTGTTGACAAAATAGTTGTCTTCTGCTGTTAAACCTCCAGACTTGAGTATTTGGAAGCTGTACAGCTTGCTTTGCTTCCTTACATTGATTGCAAAATTCCAAAACAAACACCCTGACAATGCCTATACAGCTGGTAGCTCCAAGGCTAAAATCCTGTGGTTACTCCCAAATTCAGCTTCACTTAGTGAACCAGAGGTTCTGTCTAGTGACCAGTGTTGTGTTAGGAAAGAGGTGAGGATAAAATGAAAGAAGACTTGAAGATGCATCAGAATCCTGCCAGCAGTGTCAGGAAGATGTATTTTCCCTGCCCTAAAGGAAATAACTCACTGCTGCTCCAGTAGTAAGGTTTTAGTCATCAGAAGTGCTGGTGTTGTCACTGCTTATAAAATATTCTTGAGAACCTGCCTTCTGCTGTTGCAGTTTTGTCTTTCACGTTATATAACAGATACTTCTGAAAAAGGCACCCCAGGACATCATCTTGCAGGTTCTCTGCTCCTCTCAAGTTCTTATTTCCCACTCAAGGAGCCACAAATCAGTTGTTATGTATTTCAAGTAGTATGGTTTGTGCAGCAAAGGTATTTCTCTGCTTCTCTCCCAGACAAAACTATATAGCTTCTAAATTAGGAGTGTGATGTGGGGTTTTTTTTGTTGTTGTTGTGTTGGTTTTGGGGTTTTTTAATGAAGAAAATGGCCTCAGGCAGTCGTTTCTTGTTCTTCAGAACACATTTTCTGTGGAGCAGTGTGGCTTCACCCAGACACAGGTTGAAAACAGCACAGCAGGGATATTAGAGATATTAGCTATGCATCACTGTCTTTGTTTTTTAACAAACATAACAGCAGCTAATAGCCTGTGTTTGTAATATCTAAGCTGCTGGTGTGATATTCTGGCAGAGCAGGTTCAATGTCAATGTTTTTGCCATCAGCATTTGTCATTTGACAGCACTGCAGGAGAGAATATTTGAAGGTGGTGTACTTTTCCTTCATGTGTTAGTTTGTCTGCTAAGAGTGGTTCACTCAAACCTTTACATTGGATCTCTGGAGAGCGTGGAAGGGAAAACTTTATAAACCAGCAAACACTGGTACAAAAATAAATTGGACTGCACTTTGAAGGTAATTATGTTGCTTAACTTGCTGTAAATTAAGACATCTGCTAAATTTTAAAGGCTGAGACGTGAAACGGAATGTGAATTTTCTGCCCATGAATGGTCTTAACTTACAAGGATGTTTCTTTTTCTATTCCTAATAGAAATACACCGTGTCAAGAATAACCTACTGCTGTCAAGGTGGTTATGTTGCCATTCTATGTGACAGGTAAGAATAAATGGAATAATGCCCCAAATCCTCCTGCAAAGGCAAGAGCAGCTTTCCTTGCTGGCTCTCACAGCATTCCCCCAGCCTGCAGTACTTGGTACTTGGTGGATCTCCAAATGTCCCAGGCATGCCTGTGGCCTCACAGGGAGCCTCTGAGTCCTTGTTTGCTTGGTCTGAGCATAGAGGTGAGTGAAAGGGTTATCCTGCTTGGTTCAGTTTGGCAGATTTTGTGATGCTTTTCCCTCACAGGAGGACACTCGAGGCTTGGATGTACCAGAGCCCTGTTCTCCCCAAATTGCTGTGCCTGACCCTGTGGTTTGGGTCCCGTTTTGTTCAGGGTGCTGTGGCAATGGAGCAGCCAAACTTCTGTTACCTGTAAATGGGTTCAGCCATTCTGTTTAAAACTGTGGAGAGGCCACATTGACTTTTGGGTTCAAATGTGTGTGTCTGTGTGAGGAGAGGGTGCTCAGGAGCTGATGGGCCTGAGCACTGGGGAGCCTTACAGATGCATCTGGTGGGGCAATATCCTGTGGGAATGGAAAAGCCCTCTTTCCTCATCACCTTAAGTCTGCTAAGGAAGCTGTTCTTCCTGACAAAAGCTTGCCAACAGGAAAGGGAGAGATTGCCAGAGCTGCCTCTACAGTGAAAGAGGCAGTTTGTCCCCTCAGTGGACTTTTGCCAAAGTAAGGAGCCTTAGCTGCTTCCCATTACACCTTCTGCATGGACATCCACACTGGCCCTGGAAGGGGAAGCCCTGTTCCTTAGCCCAGGGGCCACATTGTGCTCTGCATCAGGCTTTTATTTTCAGCTCCACAGCCCAGTGCTTTTAAACAGGTCTGTCATGGGGACCTGGTGGGCCACTCAGGAGGGAGCTCAAGTGTCCTGCCTCTCCAAGGGAGGTCAGGAATCTCTGCATGTGGAGACTGTGGTGGTTAGAGGAGAGAGTGCTGATGGGAGAGGTGGAAAAGAGAACAATGGCAGAGCCCTGTTCTTCAGCTGTGTCAAGATGTCCTGTCCCTTTCATTCCTTCCTCCCCTCCCTGGCATGTAATTCCTTTCCTGGTTTATTTTGGCTGGCATTCAGCTACATATTCCTTCAAGCCCTGTAGGTCAGTGTGCCATGATACAACATTCCTTATATAAATCTTTAGTAATCCTTATGAAATTCCATTTACTACCTTTTCTTTTAAAGAGAAGTCAGCACTGACTGCTTTTTTTTCAGGTAACACTTGAAAAGCCATTTGACATGTTGGGTATTTACAGCTTCTGACTCAGATCATGTAATCAAACTGCACTTGAAGTGCTAGAGTATTTTTTTTTTTTGCAGTTCCTAATGACTTTGCTTTGGCTCTGCTTGGAATTAGAGTGGGTGTCCGTAGTTTGCTGTACAAGTGATGGATGTAGGTGGATTTTGCAATGATGCTAATTAAGTTTTCCCTCTCAAAAGTATTCCCACAGTCTACATCTTTCAGCTCGATGCCACTGCCCAGCAGCTCGTTTACAAGCAGCAAATCCCTTTGCAGCATAAAGGTTGGGACATTGCATTTGGGGAAACGGGAGATCTGTGGATTTTGCAGGAAGACAAGGAAGCTCCTCTTCAGTTGTACAGAGCATGTGATGGACAGTGGAAGGTACCTTGCTAATGCTAACATCCTAAATGTTTTGTGTTGTCTTGAGGCCACAACAAAAATGGAGTTAATTATGTTTCATGAAAGCTGAAAGGCACTTTTCTCTATGTCCTGAGAAGGATAAAAGCCATAGATGCACATCTCATTCTGTTTCTCACCTGTGTTTAACTCAAAGGTGTCAGGAGCTTGTTATGAATACCAGTGTATCCTCCAGCAAAGCTGACATCTGGAACAGCAGGATCAAGCAGAGTGGTTGTCAACCATTGCACTCAGTATTTTAAACTGTTTCCTGGGTTAGATAAGAAAAAAAAATGGAACAACCAAATCCCTTCTGGTTTGCTCAGGAATGCTTTTCACACAGCCTTCCTTGTGCCTGCCTCTGAGGGATCCTTTGAAGGACAAGGCATTCTGGGAGTATTAAGGGAATTATTTTTTTTTTTCCTCCGCTGAGAACAGGGAATAAATTTGGAGGGATGTGCTATCAGGTTCTCTGATAACAACCTATTAAACAACTGGAAACTCATTTGTTATGCTTGTGAGTCCGCAGCTAATTATGGTCTAGTTGTGAAGTGGTTTCAAATGAAACTTTTCAATATGGTCTTTGACCTTATGTGTTCTTGTGATGCTCCTTTTCCTCACAGATTAGTAGGTGGGCATCCATTTTCTTTTCATTTGAGCCCCAAAGCTTTCCCAGCAGAACATGAGATTTCAGTCTGGGTTTCAATACCAGTCCTGGGAAAAAGGAGCCCCAAAGAGATCACAAAAGGCTTACACTTGCTCTGTGTCACTATAGTCTTCTGAGAGCTGTTGCATTTTTCACTGTGCTGTGAAACATTAAATTGTTTAATAATCCCAGAATATCATGCAGCATTCCTTCTATTCCCAGGCTGTAACTGATGACAAAGGATTGCAGAAGATGTCAAAATATATTCAAGACAACTGGACGGTGTTTGAAGGTGAGAAATTTGGCCTGAAGGCCCAGGGAATGCAATTTTTGAAGCTAAAGAACAAGATTTAGGAACAAGACTAGAGTTGAGGTCAGTTCAGATGTTTTCTCAGTTTCATCACTGGGAAGTGAATGTAGATCATGAAGTGTGTTCAGGTTACTGTTATCACAAAATGATGTAGGGATTTAGAGCTGAATTGCAGGATTATAAGTGTTTTCCGTAGACACCTTATCACAGGGATGTGTCTCAACACCCTGTGACAGAGCTGCTGGAGTCTGTCTTCCTGCTGTCATGTCAAGTACTGTTGTTTGTCCTGTCTCTTGCCTGGGTGTGACACTTTTATCAGAGGTACAGTGGAGCCAGTTAGAATGGAATAACCATGGGAGGAGCAGCTTTGCTGTAAAAATGGGCCATTCAGATCCACCTTGGCAAGGCAGAGTACGTGGAGCCTGCTGTGGCTGGAAGGTCTGACCCTGGATGATATCACAGATGACATTGATTAATACCAGGGATGGCTCATTTTGTTCTTAATTTCTGCCCAACTTCCAGTCTCTGGCAGAAAAAAAAGTAATGCCCCATTTACTAGTTCAGAAGCATCCAATGTTTCCAGGATTTTTTTGTGTTTAAAGAACACCCAGCTTTATTTAGAAGCTGAAATAATGGCAGTGGTGGTGCAGGGTAGAGAAAAGTTGTGGTATGTACTGAAGTCTCAATTATGTATTGAGACTTTATTAATTGAAATTTCTCTCCTGTACTTCGCTGGGAGACTGGGAACCTTCCTTAAAGAAAGTGTTACAGTTCCCCCCAGTCTTTTGATCTGTTCACAGTGGCCATACGTAAAGATGGAAGAGTTGCAGGAATGTGCAGTCTGGTGTAAAGTCTCCTTAATATCTAGTGTTGATTTAGCATGTAGCTGTCATTAAGTTGGTCATTAAGTGGTAATTAGGTTGGTACAGTCTTTGAAATCTAAGTCAGGTACTCCTCTAGAAGGGAGGTGTTTGCCTGTAGATGTTACAGGCTTAATAGTTCACAGCCAGGCAGATAATTAGGAGTATGAGGTCTGAGTGAAAATGGGCATGGAGAAGGAAAAAGAGCAGGCAGGGGAAGAGGTTCTGAGCATAATTAGCCCGTGGAACAAATGACTCTGATAGGAGGTACCCGGCTGTGTCTGCAGCTGGGAGAGGGAGGACGGCTCAGATGACAGGGTTCATTATTGTTAATTAGTAAGGGGAGGCTCACTTGATGAGCACTTATTCCAGTGCATAATTAGTGATTCAAAGGTAGTTACATCTCCTAAAAAAAGTGATCATTACATTGTTTAAATCCAGTCTTACATTGCTTAAATCCAGTCTTAATGCCTGCATATTGTCCTTATTTAACCTGGCTGAGGATTCTGTAGGATTTAAGACACATCAGTCAGTCTGGAAGTATCACAGAATCACAGAATGGTTTGGGTTGGAAGGGACCTTAAAGATCATCCCATTCCAACCCCCTACCATGGGCAGGGACACCTTCCACTATCCCAGGTTCCTCTAAGCCCTGTCCAACCTGGCCTTGGACACTCCCAGGGATGGGGCAGCCACAGCTTCTCTGGGCAACCTGTTCCAGTGTCTCACCACCCTCACAGGGAGGAATTTCTTCCCAACATCTAATCTAAATCTACCCTCCTTCAGCTTAAGGCCATTCCCCCTTGTCCTATTACTACATGCTCTTGTGGAAAGTCCTTCTCCAACGTTCCTGTAAGCCCCCTATAGGTACTGGAAAGCTGATAAAGTGGGTAGGACCACAGTAAATGAGTTGAAATGCCACTATCCATAGTTACAGTACAGGAAGTAATTGATGAGACTGCTAAGGGAATTAACACTTGTGTTCTTGCTTTGCCCAATTGCAGGTTTTGTTGGTGCAGGAAGCTACTACAGACACCTCTACAAGGCTTCATTTGATAACATGGATGAATATCTACAGAGGAAGGAGGAAAGGTTACAGCAACAGAAAAAGAAAAGGCAGAATCTACAATGTGGTTCCAATGGACAGACAAAAAAAAAGATGAAGGCTGAAGAGTCATCACTATGACTGTTGTTAACTTGTACCTTTTGCCTTGATGAAAGGTGGTGATCCAACTGCAGACTGTTTTTATATGTAAAATGTATTCTGGAAGAAGACTGGTTTAAACTTTTATTCAGGTTTTCAGGTAGGCTGATGTGACAACATCCTGCTTGCAGCACATAATGCATTTACAATATGCCTAAGCTTTAGCAGCACACAGTGTTAGTGGTTCAGTCCTGGGTATCTCTGATGCATGATATATGAATATTGGAGAGGGTATTTTCCTTAAAACAGGATCTTCTTTTTGCCTACTGTGTTCAGGCTTTCTTCTTCAGGTGGAAACACACCTGATGTGATTTTCTTTTGGTTTGGTTTCGGGTTTTTTTAAACTTTCTAAAAGTTTTGTTAGTTAATGTATCTAACTTAGTGTACCTGGCTATGGGAAAGGGAATGTAGCAAAATTCTTGCTGTATATGAGAAGTTTTAGCTGAGAATTTCCCTTTGTCTTCCCTTCAGTCTATATGGTTGGGATTCTGCCTAGTTTCTAATCCATTGCTTCTTACTTGTGGAATATTTCTATAGGAAGAAGTGCAAAAGTTGATTTTATATCTACAAAGTAAAAGTAAAATGTGTCAGTCAACTTTTGTGTTATTGGAAGACCCTTCTATTGCAATATGATCCTGCTGTGTCTGTGAAAATCATTTGAGAGGTCTGTGAGCAAAACCTGGAGTGCATCCTGCTTTCTTCAGCAAGAACTCTTCCATGTTGCAATTAGCCAAGAAATACATCTTTTTGAAAAGTTATCAGCCAGAGGCTTAGGGGATCACTTGTTGCTTCATCATGGGGCAGAAGATGTGTTCATCTACCAGATGGTATCATGTCCTGTATGGAATAAAATGTACTTTACAAAACCAGGTGTAGAAATCTGTACAATCCATTAAAAGCATTCAGAATGAACCTATGAACCATGAATAGTTCTGTAGGTCTCTTTATGTAGCTGTCCCCTCTGTAGTATCTGGACACTTAAAATTTTTGCACTCAAATTCTAGCTGCACTAATGTTTGAGACATTTTGAGATGTAGCTTGTTTTAGGTTGTCAGGTGTGAAGCAGAACTTGCTGTTTATGTCTGCTCAAATCCAGTCTTGTCCTCACTGTGTGTCCCAGAGGCCACAAGTCTTCCTTGCTGTTGGATGTCACATGGATTTTCATATTCCTTCTGTTTGGAAGTGCCCCTTAAAGCATGTCAGGTGCATTAGTACAGAGCCAGTCCTTCACCTCTGAGGTGTGATTTCTTTTTGTAACTCCTTTTAAGATAAGAACATTCTGCCTTGGCAAAAGGTCTCTTTGGACAGAAATTGCAGTGTCAAGAGCGGTATCGTCTGTTCTGGTTAAAAGTCACAATTCTGGCAGGAGCTGCCCTGGCAAGAGTAAAATGTGAAGTAGTTTCTATTACATGCAGTTACATAAGAATGCATGTCCATAAAGATCGTGGTCTAGTGTAGCAATTCAACCCCTCTGTCCAATATCCACGTATCAGGGATCTGAAGCATCTCATTTGGGAATCTCAAAAGCAGTTGAGTGCTCTGGATAATGCTGATAGTTTACCTAAATCCCATGCTGATCAAAAGCTAGGATTAAAAACCCTGTAAATCCAGGATGGTATGAGGTGAAAACCTTTAGGATTGTATCTGGGACAGTAACTATGGGGGTACAACACCAGTGACGAGTATTTCTCTTGGTCCTCAAGAAGGGATGAGGAATTGCCATCTGAAGTGCTTGATACTGGGTAGGAACGGTGGCTTGGAGACTGGAACACCTGCTGCATGATGGTGGCTGTTAAAGCTTTATAGTTCTTCTATTTATCTGTCTTATTTGAGAGCAGCTCTAGGGAAGGCAGCTGGGGAGTCAATTAAGGAAACTTCGTGATTGTTTGGGAGAAGAGTTTGCTATTGTGCAGGTTCAGTACAATCATACCAGAAATAGGCCAGTACTCACACTGCCTGTGAACCAGACAGGACAGGAGGAAAAGGTTCTGACTGGATTTTTTGCTAGCTGTGATAAAGGAATGAATTTTTACCCCTCGTGAAGCCTGCTGATACAATGCCAGCTGCAACATTTTTGAACAAATTTGAATCTGCAGCAGGAGTCTGTTTTGGATCACTTCTGCATGTCACCAAGTATGCTGGTTTTGGGGTGGTGGTGTGAGCTAAAGACAGGGCTTTTTTGTGTCAACAAAGCATTATTTTTGCCAAGTCTTCTGAGGTCATGTGGGCTGGTCCCAAGAATTGCTCTGATGCTCTAACCTGAGCACGGGATAGATGCGGGGATCACGGAGTGGTTTGGGTTGGAAGGGACCTTAAAGATCATCCAGTTCCAACACCCTGCCTTGGGCAGGGAACCTCCCACTAGACCAGGTTATTCAAAGCCCTGTCCAACCTGGCCTTGAACACTTCCAGGGATGCTGGAAGCTGTGAGCATGCAGGGCTGACACGGCAAGTCACCTCTTCTCTGTGACATTCCTGCTCACCAGAGGTTTTTGCCCAGTCCTGCCTTGTGTTTAGCAGCTTTGATGTTGAGTGTTAGGAGTCCATGTGCATAAACAAAACCATTTACTCACAGAGGAGGAAAATCTTCTGAGGACAACACAGGTAACTGTTTTCGGTGGGTTGGTGACAGATCCTTTGTGGGGTTTCAGCGTGAACATCAATATTGTTACACTTCTAAAGGATCAGAGACTGACATGGCAATTCCTATCCCTGAGGGATATTTTTCCCCAACCACTTTCTCAGCACAGTGTAGACCTTGACAGTGATCCTTACCCTGCCTACTGTCCTGGAAGAAACCCAAAATTTCTTCCAGTGCTTGAACTCATGACAGATCGTGGTGCGTGGGAGTGACATGAGATGTGATATCTGGCAGATGGTTCAGGCCTTTTTGTTCTTTTTTCCTGCAAGTTTTCCTCGCCTTTCCTATTTCATTTCATGTTTCCTTTTCTGCACACAACAGGTCCTGAGCTTCAGTGCTGAGACCATCTGTGTGTCTGTGGATTGCTTTGAAGGGATCCATGAAAAGTGATCAGAGAAAGGAAACTTGCTGGAAGGTCTAAATCCTTCTTTTAGACATTTTCCAATGTGCCTTGGTTGGAAAACACCCGCAGATCATTAAAAGGGAGTGAATACCACTGCTGCAGAGGGAGACAACACTCCTCTCCCTGGTATTTGAACTATTCCTTTCTAGTGGTTAAACCTGATGTCACTTGCTTGTGTTTATTTTCTGAACTTGAACCAAAGCCTGTATCTGTGCCTGGCAAAAAGGGGGTGGGTCAAGGAGGGTGTAGTTTTATAGCAGAACTGGAAGCTCTCAAACCATTGCAAGGGATATTTGTAGGCCATGGGAGTTCACCCCACACTGCACTAGAATTTTTTGTGGTGGTTGTGCATCTCCCCTGCTTCTGTCCTGAGCACTGACAATCCCAGGAGCTTTTAAAAATGCAGGTAGGGAAAAAGTTGAAACAATAACGTGTTTCTTTGCCTCAGCATTTTAAACCAAAACATAAGCTTCCTACTCCCATTACTGGGATTTCACCAAAACCCCTTCAGGAACACATTGTTAAACAGTGTGACCTTTTATCTGTCATAACAGGAAGGAATTCTAACCAAATGCAGCCCAGTAGTAATGCTTTAGAACATTCCTTATATTTTTAACAAAACTTTGAAAGCCAATTTATTGTATAAACAAAACAAATCTGTAAACAAAAATGTTCCTTTCTTTGAAAAAAAGAAAAAAAGCCAATACAATGTAGTTTCTTTATCTTCAGGCTAATAAAAACTTGCTGCCAATTTCAATACACTCCAAAATCTGCTTCAGCTTTCTTTGCTGAACTGTTTTGTATGAAGTGTGAAAAGCCCTACAGTCTTAAGTCTTACTGATTGTCCCTGCTGCCATCTGTCCTGGAGATGTGGTGTGAATGAGAGCAGGATGACCTGGAGTGTGGTGGTTCACAAATGGGGAAAAAACAGGCTGGACGTGATTTGTCAATAGTTGTAGATGCAGAGGCTGGAAAGAAGAAGGGCTGGAGGACTGTATGTTGATTCCCAATGCATTTGCACAGGTTATCATCCACTTCTGAATACCAGGGTTCTGGAAAATCCTGCAAGGACTTGAAGCAAAGTCTATTCCACTCCTGAAGTGGTCATTGCTTGATAACCCACATCAGCACTTTTTTACCCAGTCACCTGCACATCTCCCTCCCTCAGACAGGTTAAGGTCAGAGCAGGAACTGTGTGGAGAGAAATCTCTTGTGGACTGGCATGACTCTGGAAGTCAAAGGAACTGCTGAGGGATAAGCCAGGGGCAGCAAGGAGATGAACTGTCCCTGCAGGTAGGGACCAAGTGCAAGTCCCATGTAGTGCACCACATCTGGCAAGCCTGTGATGCCAGGCCACCATGTCCCCATGTCATGGGGATGAGCAGCTAAAATCCATCAGAGCTCATCTCCAAATTGAGCTACCCTGGCTGTGGGTGCCTTGAAGGCTGGACCACACCTGTGAGTAACCATGAAAATGGATGAAGAATGTGTTGTGTGACCTGATGCTTTGTGTTTGAGACAGCTCACAGCATCAGCAATGTCCTTTTTCCCCCCCCTTTCCTTTACCATTAGTAGAAATAATTTGCATAGGCATGAGGTGGATGTTCTGATGTGCACAACCTGAACATCCAGGAGTGGCTGCCCCTTGTTTCCTAATCAGTACAGCCTTGAGTTTCAACAGCTTTTGGTAAGTTTGGTGAGTCAGTGCCCATTGGATATGGGAGTTAGGTACAGTTGGTTGTTTGATTCATCTCTTAATTTGAACAGCACATTACAGCTAATATTTTTAGCTCCAGAGAATCAGCACCAAGCAAATACAGGTAGAAGCAAATAGGACATGAACACAGCCAAGGAGCCCCCTCTGCTTCTGTAAACAGCAAGACTCAAGCTCTCAATGGAAAAGGGTTGTACACTTGCTCACCTGTCTCAGATCTATCACATTTACACCTTCAAGCAGCATATAGTACTTCTGCATGTTGCCCATAGGGATAATAAAAATTTAATAGTCCTATCTGGAATGGAAATTTTAATTTTTGGACCGTCAGACCTAATCATATATATTTATATAAATATAAAAGTATATATGTAAGAAACCCCACACCAAACAGAAAAAAACCAACCATTCGTAGGACACCCAAACTGCTTCCTAACACAAAATAAGGAGATCCTCGCCCTGTGTTGTATCTTGCTGTCATCCTTTGGCTTAAACTTCACTTGTTCATGGGAAGAGAACAATACTGCACTTGGCCCTCACCTCTGTTGACCTCTGTGGGAGAAGGGGACAACCTAAATCCTGCACAGTGGCCAGGGAGCAGAACACGCTTTGTGTTAAAGAGAGTACAGAGTATACAAGTAGCTGTTGCTGTTAATCCTCTCTGAAGTGGCTGCTGGAGGAAGGCAGTTATGAAACACAATATCCCGTGTGAAAACACAATTAAAGCATCCATTTTGGCATCCCATCTGTGCAGGTTTTCAGGCGTGGAGCTTGATTCACCGCCTTTACAGCTGTGCTGCCTCCCACCAGGGCTTTGTGCTTTTAAATAAGAACTCTGTTACTGTGTTTTCTCATCAGCATGTTGTCAAGATGGCAGCATCCCATGTAAATTCTAGTTAGTTTTCTGCAGTGCTGGCTGTCTTGGATTTCTCCATTGGCTTTTCCCCTTTATAGCTGCAGTATTTCATTGCTTTCTAATATTTCAAAGTTCAAGAAAGGCAGGGTGTGACACACCAGTTATATTAAATTAAAAGAAACATTACTCTGATGGTTTTTTTCCCTATTTCCTCGTCTATGGAAGGATTCATGTTATTATCTATGCACATTTTGGTTTACCTAAAGCAATAGCTCATCATCTCATCTAAGGCAAACAGTATTCAGCAAATAAA